GGGCTCACGCGTTACCGGCGCATCAGGAGGTTGAGAGCCTTCACCCCTGGAATCGGATTGGTAGACCCTAAGGACTACCCTTTCGAATCCATGGGTGATGACTCCCCTGAACTCAGCGAGGGGCTCGAGGGATTCCGCATTGAGTAGTATCAGCGCTTGCTGATGCGACTCCTCGGACTCCTCGGTCCCCTCAAATCTGACAACCTTCCAATTGTGCGTGGGCATATGCGGGTTGCCGTATCGCGGATTTCCTCAATCTCCTCTGGCGCCGAGGGCGCTGGGGGGAGCCAGATACGGGCATGCGGGCGGGCAGGAATATCCTTTTTGTCCACGGCTTCCAGCTTGGCGCCCTCCCAAACCTCCCCCACCAGAGACACTGCAAACTTATAGATGCCATGATGCCATCCACCGTCCTCACATCGCGGAGGTGGACCAGGGTTTCCTCTGACCGCCCTCAGAAAGACTGAGGAGATGGCTGCTGCCACGCGCTTCCAGTTTTCCCTGGATATGGTGCCATCTTCTATGCTTCGAACGAGGACCCCCAGGGTAATTGATCCCGCCTGATTAGCAATTTCGCTGAACAGAAGAGCAAGCGCACCCCCATTTCTGGGTCTTTTTGCGCGGGAGCTTTCTCCCTCTTGAGACCTTTGTCTCTTAGGACCTACAGGAGGCAAACTCGTGTCTCCTTTCGTCGGGTTCTTAGCCCTCTCGTCCAGGCCACACAGCACCCCTTTGGCCCACTCGAGCGTTTTGAATGTTTCTCAGTTAGCTAAGAAGCATCGTGATCGCCATAGCGCTCCAAAATCTTGGTAGCCATGCGCCTGTCAGAGTAAGCCTTTCGGCCCGACGATACCTGCCGTTTAGGCTTTCCCGAAGGCTTCTTGTGAAGAGCCTTCGAGGACAGACCCGGAAAACTGGGTGAGGAGCCCGCGCTGGTGCTGGCGATTCCGTCAGGCACCCGCCTTAATCGCTCGCTCAATCTGGTCCTAGAGACCCCCACGGAGTCCGGTTCCGGCACTCCTGCTCTCCCGGTGGCGACAGCACTGGAGGACTAGCCACATTCTCCAATCTCAAACGTTAGAGAACGACTCGAAAAACTATCGAGAATCATAGCGATCTCAACAAAAATGGGACATAGTTCTCGACTCGAGAAAATATTGATTCTCTAATCGTATTCCAATGTTGATCTCTAATGGGATTCGAGTGTGAATTTCAAACTGCTGTTTTGCCTTGCTTTGTTTGTAAAATTTGTATTAAATGTATTTGCAATAAAATAATAATGAATTATTTGAACTTAAAAATAATTTATGAGTAATTCATTTTGAATATTGCTTATTTACATTTTTTTGAATTTGCGTTGTTTCTCTAATCGTTCTCGAATCGAATTCTAATGTAATTATCTAACTTCGTCATCGACTCGAGAACGATTAGAGAATTACCCTAGTTATCTAATGTAGAAATCCAAATTTCTCTAACGTTAGAGACTGTGTTTGCTGGGTATAGACATATGTACATAGATTACTAAATAGAAACAGATTAACTGCAATCAGCATATGTATGTACGTATGTATGTATTTACATATCGTCTTTTAAAGTACAAAACCGCGTATCGTCATTCTGCAAAACCGCGTAACTGACATTGGCTGCCAAAAATTGGATTTGCTCACACAATCCTTATCCATTCGTCTTTAAATATACTAGCCAGAAATGCGATTGCTTTCTAAAAAAGGGAACCATTTTGAAATATGAGTGGTTTTACGATCTAGAAAATAATTTCTACAACTTCACATACGCGGTTTTGCATTTTGTTGATACGCGGTTTTGCACTTTAAACAACGATATGTGCAAACGCTGCGATTTGGTTATATATATTGCGCCATCTGTTTATCAAAAGCCGAAGTATGTACCTACGCACACATACATACTTTTTCTCTCCTTCCCTCATTTCGAACGCATGCACGTGTTTGCAAAACGATGACGAAGTGATTTTGTATGCGAAATCATTTATGCCCATATATTTGAATCAAATAAAGATACTTAGAAGATATCAACCAATATTTCCCATATACTAAACGAAAGGAAAACTCTTGAATATTTGATTAAAGAAAACAAAAACAAAATCATTCGAGCGGTTTTCGAGCATTTTGGTAATAAAATAATGTTTTGCCTTTAAATGCTTAATATTTGTTGAATTTATATAAAATCTGTACACGATAATAAATCTATTGCTCCAAAGAATCTCTATCCCGAAAATGAAAGTTATATCTGCAAATCATAAGCTGCTGGAGCACTTTAAAGGCTCAAAATTGACACCAAAATAAGCCAATGTTTACGTTCTTTTGACGACAGAAACCGAATTGGTTACTTACAAAAATGAATCTGTCGATAGGCTTGGAATTTTATCTGTGAAACGTATTCTACGTCAAAATTATAAAAATGCAAAAAATATTTGCTTTTTGGAATTTTTGTTTACGGTGCTGGGCATTTTCTGTCATATAACAAAATTTTAGAACTTACTTTTGCTGGAAAAAATGCGTGACACCGGCAGTAAAAAAAATTATAAAAAGTCAAGGGTATTTTTAACCACTTGAAAGTTTCACTTTATGTTATGCACATTTTTATGCAATTAATTACACCCTGTGACAAAAACAAAAAGCACGAGGCAATCAACATACTCACCAATCTATGGCCCAGGTCTAGTAAAACTGAGTTTTTAGTTTCTCTCTCTGACTTCAGAATTTTTCTAAAAAGACTTTATAATTTCAAAGAGATGATTAATTCCAAAAATTATTTAAAAAAAATCACTGCAATGTTGAATAAAATTATGGCTACCAAATGAATGAAAAAATCCTGTAGATTAAAACAAATAAACATTTTTGCGTTCGCAAGGACGAATAGTTATTGAAATCGCCCTTTTAATCAATCTAATTTTTTAAGCTAAATAAGTTAGAAGGACGATATTCGAGGATGTTGTTGAGTTTATATTAGTCCTTAAGATATAATTTGTTCAAAAATTAATATTTAATATTGCAAAGTTTCAAGGATATTCAAGGATAAAATTTTAAAAGGACATTTTCAATATCTACACGCCCTTATGCACCAAAAAAATCTGATCTGTTTTAATTATACATAATTTTCTCTTTAATTTGATCCCATACTGTTTTTCTTAGTACATTGCACCGAATTATTTAAATCATTTTCTGAATTACTGATATTTCTAAAATTTCAAAGTCCTTTAAAAAAATACCGACGTCAGAAAGAAAAACTAAAAGCACAATTTCTTTATATTTGACCCATGGTTTCGCGAATATATTGATATTTTTGTGTGTAAAATTCACTGTCGCATGGTGTTATGTATATGTATAACGAGCTAGACATTTATAAAAAAAAAATACTAAATATTAAATAAACATAGGAAGCCAAATATGGTCAACGTAAAGCATTTCTATTATTTTCACCTAATTCTAGAATTTTCGGGACTAAAAAAACCCGGGATCCCGGTAGTAACATGCGTGTCCTACATACATAAATACATGCATACACACATGGTATGTCATAAACAGGGCAATAGGCTGGAAAAGGCAAAATAAAATATGTAGCGAAATAGGCAGGAAAAGGCACCAGAAATAGCGGAAAAGGCGTATATATTTTGAATCAGTAAAAGCTAAATCGTGGACATTCTTAATCGAGTATACTCTAGGTCTTTAGCAGAAAAAAAGCAATTTCCATAAAATCTCCTCCCTGGTCATAAATATCTACTCATATCAACTATACTAAATTATCTCTTCAATTGTCATCTTTATGTATTGTTGTTTTAATTTACTTGTTTCAATCGTAAAAATATGTACATTGTGTGCTATTTGCATATATTTGTATGTATATAAGTACTCTTATTTATGGATAAGTATGTATTTCAGTTCCACAAATGAACAACATTAAATGTCGCTTTCTTACCTATCTTGGAAAACTTTCAAATTTCACAATTCTCATTGAGTTTTCAGCTATTAATATTTTTGCTTAAATATACATAGTCCGGTCAATTTAGACATTCAAGGTTACAAAAATTCCCACCCAGCTGAAAATTGGTAGGAAATTTAAAAAGTCCTCATCGATCCGATACCTGGAAAAAAAGTTACTCGGGTCCAAAGGTCACAAAAACGGGGATTTCGCGATTTTAAGCAAAACGGTAAGTTTATCATAAAATTAGTTTAGACAAAAATTGTAGATCAGATAGTTATCTATAAAAATTGTTTAAATACTTTTTTTCCTAAGAGCCACCGTTTCCGAGTTATAACGATTCAAAAAGTTGGAAGAGTTGTAATCGGCATAATATTTATGTATAAGTACAACAAAGGTGGCGTGGAAACGTGTGCATATTTATTATGACGAGTACAACTCTTCCAACTTTTTGAATCGTTATATCTCGTAAGCGGTGGCTCTTAGGACAAAAAGTATTTAAACATTTTTAATAGATAATTATCTAATATACAATTTTTGTCTAAACTAATTTTATGATAAACTTACTGCTTTGCTGAAAATCGCGAAAACCCCATTTTGTGACCTTTGACCCCGAGTAACTTTTTTTCCAGGTATCGGATCGATGAGGACTTTCTAGATTTCATTTATGATTGTGTTTTAAACAATCCTACCAATTTTCAGCTGGGTGCGAATTTTTGTAACTTCACTCCAATTTTTGGTCTAATTTGACCGGACGGGTACGCATATAGAAATGTACATATATAAAATAAATCTACATCTGAGGGGAAGATCGATCTATCTTGGCTGCCAGTTCGAAAACGCCCTATCTCAGAATCGGCAGCTGAGATGAGGCGTTTTTCAACCAAATTCTGAAGTAGGGGGTTCTTGAAAATTTTTCTGAGATGGGGCGTTTTCCAACCCGTCTGCCAAGATACATATATAAGTCCATCTTCCACTCAGCCGTCGATATGCATAAATACTGCTTGAAATACTAACAAAAAAATCGCTTAAATTCTTTACAGGTCACAAGTTCTGAATATTTCTCTGTGAGTTTTTGTACTGATCAAGGCGTCCAAGAAGAGGAATTCATTCCCGCAACCAAAGGTGTAACGCTTTAGTAAGTATGGCGCGCTTTTAATTGTTCTGCTAATATTCATCTTGCTTTATTTGCTTTGCAGTGGCGCTCTGAGTCAAGCTCTGAAGCGGAGAAATCTGAGCTTCTCACAAATCACCATCACCGACAATAATCCACCAAACAGTTTTTTGGAAACTGGTAAGTATTTACATACAAATGTTTATTTTGTAGGTGGGGCATTCATTTGAAAATGTTTGAGGGCAGAGGCAAAATTGCGCTATAAAATAGAACAAACATCTCAATTGTTTTTATACTGTAATTTGTCATCTGTACAAGTTTTGTTTAAGAACGAAAAAATCTTAAAAACCGCATAGCCATACAAAAAGTTATTTTTCTTAATGCCAAATAATATCTAACATATCTGACTCCTAATGTAGCGTTCGTGAAAGTTCACCAATCTAAAAAATTTTTTATATCTCTTCATTCTTAGATAAAATTACTATTTACACATTAAATTCCAGGGAAATCGGATAACGATTACCACTTTTTGCAACATCTTATATCTATGGGAATCTGTCATTGTGAAGCGTCCAGTCTGCGGAAGATTAACAAGAGGGGCGAAGACAGCTAGTATTTGCTTAGCTAATTCTTTAGAGTATATGGAGTAGTTTTGTAGAAATCAATTTTTAACGTACGGCGTCGCGGATACTTATGTACATATGTCCTCCTGGAACTTATTGAAAAGTGCATGAACCGAATTCCTGCGTTGTTTGGATCGTACTATTGACATTTTTTGCTGGAAAAAATCCTTAAAACATATTAATAAACATGTCTGGTACCTATTCAACCACCTAATTGCACATTTCGAGACATTTACTGGGCAATTCTGGCAACTGCCTTTCAACTCACCACAACTTTCTTGAAAGCTCATTCGAAAGACTAGTTGAAAGGTCTGCTAACGAGGCGGTCTTAGCGTTATGATGTTCGCCTGTTAGCAATGACTTTTTTAAGTTAAATGAGATTAAAAAATATGTATATATATTTTTCCTTTTAAATCAATAAAAACTAATAAATGAAAGAAAATAAAATAAAAATATGTTAAATGAAAATAAAGTAAAAATAAGTAGATATTTTTAAAAGTTAAATGAAATTAAAAAATATATTTTTTCCTTTTTAAAATAATAAATCTAAAAATTACATTAGAAAAAAATTATATTTAATAAAAAAGTAGTATTAAAAATTAAATTAAATTAAAAAAAGTATTTTTTTAACAAAATATTAAAATTAAAAGACAATTAAACTAAAAAGAAACAAAAAATTGAATTAAAAAAAAAAATTAAAACAATCAAATATAAAAATCAAAAGAAAATTTAATTAAAAGATCAAAAACGTAAATTAAAAAAACCAAAATTTTATTAAAAAAAGCTATAGGCCCGAACTCGGATCTTTCGGACTACACGCCTGTGCTTTGCTCATTCGGCCATTGCGAGAACTTTTTTTAAGACTTTTGTGCTAGAATAACAATTGTCCTGTTAGCATCAGACCACTGTGCGCCGTCTCCCCGGTACTTTTGTACTTTACAAAGCAGGAGCAGGAAAATTTGTGATTTGAAAATCAAATGGTAAAATTTAACCAGTTCTGAAAATTGAAGCTCGCATGATAGAAACACCTTAGGCTACTGTTAAAACCAAATGTATATTTATATTTTATAATAAACAAATTATAATAGCTCAAGGCATATTTTATGGCAGGCTACTCTCCGCTGACAAGTTCGCTGGATGAAAATACCGACGTGGAAAACTTGGCAGGGCACTATTTGATCATTACTGAACGAGATGGCAGTCGGAAGACACTGCAAAAAGCCGCTTCCTTTGTAAGCCATACCATTGCAAACGTTCTTTTTAATGCTTTAATTAATACCCGCTCCTACGCATGGTTTACTTAGGGTTCACGTACTCGTCCGCCCCGTTTACTCTCATCCGCTTCGACGGAAGAAACCAGCGAAGCAGCTGTGCCAGGGAAACAGCTAAAACAACGCTGGTCCGGTCTGTTCGGCATCAAAAACCCGCAACAGAGTCAACTATGCGAGCTACTCAATAATTACGCGAAGAATGGTGTACCACAAAAGACAGCTTCGCTGAATTTCGATCATCCGGATTTCGATGCGGCCTTGGAATATTTAGACAACATGCACAAATCGTGGAAGGATATTGTCGACAGCACCGACATGAATGACAACGAAACGAGAATACAGACTGCCATTTGGGAGTTGGTCACCACTGAAGTGTACTACATACACGCCCTGCAAACGGTGACTGATGTGAGTGTCACTGTGCAGAGTTCTCGACAATTTTTAGTATCTCACGTTGTTTGATTTCTGTTTCCACAGCTCTTTCTTGCGTGCTTGGAGGCGGTGCAAGAGGAACGCCTTCTTACCGATGTCGATCAGCATCGGCTCTTTTCGAATGTGCGCGACATATGCGAAGCGAACCTCAAGTTTTGGATAATTTACCTCTACCCAATGGTGGCGCATAGTATTGCCACGCGCGAACCACTGCGCATCTCATTTTTCCATCAGGGTTTCGTTGCTTTTGCCTCCATCTTCGCACCATACAAAAAGTACTGTGCCGAGCAGAGTACCTGTCAGTTCTATTGTAAGGAACTAAATCGGAATAATTCGCTCTTCACTTCTTACTTGGCCTGGTGCGAATCACAAAAAATGTGTAATCGGCTACGATTGGCTGACATTATAGTGCGGCCGATGCAACGATTGACGAAGTACAGTCTTCTTTTGGCAGCGATAAAAAAACACATGTCGGATGTAGAACTGGTAGAAGCGGTCGATACAATGGTAGGTCGATTATAAGGTATACTTACAATGTTTATTTAACTTTAACTACTGTTCAATTCCAGATTCATTCCGTGGAGAATTTTGTTTTTAGTGTAAATAATCACTTGACGACCCGCCAAGAGAATGAACGTTTGAAGGGTGTTATGGCGCGCATTGAGTCTTATGATGTAGTGGTAAGTCGGCAGAGTCACAATTTACTACAGTCCACTTTTATCATTGTTCACTTTTTTGTTTAATCTATCTTTAGGATACCAATAATGAACACCTGGACAAAATGATAAAGCAATATAGTCAAATGTTCGATTTGTGTGCCCCCATGAAGGGTTGTCCCGCCCATCAGGTGCGTCATCTCTTCATGGAGGGTGACCACAAATTCAAAGACAATCTGGGCAAAGCGGACGTGCACTGTTTCCTGCTTACCGACATGCTGCTCGTCTGCAAAGCAATTGCAAAGCGTGGTCTCGGCTCGCTCAAGGTGATTCGGCAACCATACTTAACAGATCGGCTTGTCGTGCAACAAAACAATAACGTTTTAAATTGTGTCTACCTCAATGAGTTCCAAGTAGCCATAACTGCATTCACTCTCCAATGTTCCGAGGCCAAGAATTGGTATGAGTCATTGAAACGTGCTAAAATGATCTACACGAGACTGAAGCAAGGTACCGGCAATTGGGATAGTTTGCGTTTCGGTGGAAGTGGACCAAGTGTTGGCACAGTCGACTCCCTTGGTGTGAAAAAGTCGCCAATGAATTCATCAATATGCAGTCATGTGTCTAGCGCTAACAATAGTCACAGCGGTTCGGTGGAGTGGAATGATTCGCGCAACATATCTGTGGACTTTGAAAAGACTAACTCTTTATCCAGTGAAGATGGTTCGATGGGTAAGTGTTGAGGCTTCTAAGCGATGAGCTGTTGATTGATGATGACTTTTTTATTATGTCTTCAGGCAAAAATCTTACATCCGTTCCTCTTAAGCTAAAAGTGAATACCGCTTCGGCGAATACACTTTCTGTACAACCACTTAATCACCTGGGTCAGAGTCTGCCGAATCTAAATCTCAACCATAGCCATACGTAAGTCCGAACACATACGCAGCCTACATATCATTTCCATCTGTGAATACATTAAAGTTTAGTTTCGTATTCACGCAAGTAAGTCACTCATCTTTATTTCATAACCGTTTCATGAGACTGGTTTCTACAAAACCACATTTATTTTAAATGTAAAAAAAATGCATGTTTAGGGTGTGATTTTCACTACGTTTGCGCTTTAACGCCTATAGTTAAGTGGTCCTTTCTTGAAATTTAAGACGCTTAAGTAATGCTCTGCTTATGCTATGCTCAATATGCTGCATACTAACATCTCATCTGCTCGAAGGACCATTAATTCATTTTTATTACAAACATTTATTTCACCTCTTACGTGTCGAATACATCTTTTTTTCATTTACTTTTTCATATATTTTTTCTTTTCATTTTTTTAATTCATGGCTTGTTTTCGGTTCCCTGCTCAATGTTCAACCGTTGTAATTTCGGATTTGGATTTGAATTCCTGCAGTAATCTATATTATACTTATAGTAATAACACTTTACTGGTGCCCGGCACTACAACAAGTCATTCGGGTAATTTATTACTATCGCCTAGTCATAGGGGCATCTCGTATCCACCGCCTAGTCCAACGAGGTGAGCCCACAAGCTTTACTATATTTATTATAATAGTTCTTTAAATCTAAGACTTAAATGAATGAATTGATTTCCCATTCCATTGTTCTCACGCTTGTCACAGTAGGGTCCCACTTCGGCGTGGTATGGCCTTTTCTACCTCCACCAAGAACCCGCCGCTAGTCAAAACTCGCAATATTACATCACAGAATAGCATTAACTGGCCTCAAATACAGGCCACGTCTACGTCAGTCAACCCACATCAGCTACACAATGCGCCAGGAAACACTGCGATCGCAAGATATACGCCCAATACAGCACTCTCGACTCAACTTAACCAATCAAAATGTCATAGTACTAACGAATATACGAGTACAACGAGCGCCGGTACATCAGCGTTGACGGCAGTACAACTGTCCTGTGAAAATTTGACAGATGCTACTTGTCAGCAGCAGCAGCAGCATTACGCTTGCAACGAAACCGATGTCTGATTTGTTGGCAATGAGGTACCAACAAAAGCGACCGTGATTATATATATTGAATAGTATTAAATAAAATACGGTAACCATTACCAAAAGGATGTCTCTTCTCGTCAATCGGCCGAATGGCAAAGCTCCGAAGAGGGTCGCAGATGGTAATTCTGAAAATGGTACTCAAACCGCCAGCCAGTGTCGATGGTCCAACATACAAATATACATATATTTATATACATACATTATACTGTGGGTAGTATTAGTAATATTTGTGTAGGGATTAAGCAAAAGTAAAGCTTAAAGCTTATCGTTGGCGGACAAGCCGCTTTCTAGCACACCAAAAGCGTAAACAATAAAATCCATAGCGAGCACAAATTAGTGAAAAAGACACAAAACACGGGTATACATATACATATGTATGTATATGTATGTATGTTGGCATATTATAGAAAGAATAACTAATTGTTATATTTAAAAATATATTTTGGGCAAAACTACCTTCAGTTTCCAGTAAAACATATAAATCCTAATACGGGACAAGAAAAAAAAACTAGGGAAATGGTATGTATAAAAACAATAAATGTGCATATGCATACATATATGTAGATATAACTATATGCTAACAATTATTTAAGTAGTCTAAATACCTTAGTACATACATACATATAATCAATAAAGCGTCTAGTGAAAAAGTTATTAAAAGATTTTATGTTAGAAATATACACCAAAATTAATAAGCCAAAAAAAGCATTGAATACATACATACATATTTATGTAAAGGAAATACTTTTAACAACTGCAGGCATGCAACGAGTTTTACATACAAACTATTAAATATACATATGTATGTAAATACAAATACAAGATAGCTGCATTCCCCAAATTTGAGGTGCAGAGCGTAGGAGCAAAGCAGATCCATGGCATAAACAGAATTGTAAATACATACATACATACACACATATTTATGTGTGTGCGCATGTGGGCCCTCTTAGACTTTTTAATGCAAGTAAGTATTAGCTTAAACCATAAACAGACGGCAGCGTTGATCCGGATCAACTCGGAAATTGACTTCAGTTGATCCGGATCAAGTCCGAGTTAATCCGGATCAACGCTGTCATCTGTTTAAGCTTTTACGTAAAAATCGCTGCTATGGTAGGCGAAAACTATGTATATACATAGGTATCCTTATGTAAATATGTATACATACATACATATTACCGCAAGAACCCTTTCACCTGTGCCCTTCCACAAGCCAATAGCTGTGAACTTTAAACTCTATTTAGTGTTTCTACTTGGTACATATAATTAATATCTACAATATGGAACCACACATACATATGTATATATATGTATGCGTACATATTTATTTTGTTTAAGTAATTACTACTTTTATTGTAAATTAAAAAATGTGCTTTAAATATTAAAACTGTCATTAGTGCGAGCCCAAGTAGTTTTTAGAACTGGTTGCTGGTAATATACAAAAACAAAACATGTAAGTTGTTAGTGAGTGCATACTTAGCTGTAGTATCCCAAATATTTACATATGTATGTATGTAAGCATGTATGTATGACTCATATAATTTGAGTATACTCTCAAGTATTAATAAAAGGAAGAAAGGCTTATATAAGCAAACAGCAAAATAAATATCTTAGTTGATCAATTACATTTACCTATACATATACATTAGTACTTACATACGTATGTACATACATATGTGTATAGTTTATAAGTATATATGTATATACAATAACAAAATGAATCAAAGCAACAGTTATAAAATGTACACGAATTATGACTTTTACTAGGGATATACTTATAGTGCTTAGTACTCCATATACATACATATTTATGTAGTGTACATACAAAATAATGTATCTTACTTAGGTACATACATTAGTGACTAAAAGTAATTGACAAATATTTGTGTACTTATTCATTTAAAATATGTATGTATGTATGTACATTAGACTGCATCACCAAAAAAAAGGTGCCGTTTTGCAAAAAAAAAGGCCGATATTACAAAATTTATTATAATCAAAGAATTCCACCAAAATATTGCGGAAAAAAATATTTAGATTTACGTGAGCTGGAGTTTTTTATTAATAAAAAAAAATGTTTAAGTATTTTTTGAATAAACTCACCTCAGATGACAAAACAGTTTAGCTTAAACAATTTCCAAAAAACTATTTAAACATTTTTTCAACGAAATCATGATATGTAATGAGATTTTTGAACATTTTTCAAAGATTGGGAAAAGAAAAACATAAATAACTGGGGCAAGCCTATACCTATTTAGAATAACGAGGTATCATTGGATAGCTATTTTCTCACCCTTTTTGTTTCTTTGCAAATAAACTTATTCAAACTGTGAAAGAGAAAGGTAATATTACGTTCAAATTGGCCCCATTTACGGCCATCCATACGGATAACTAACTGCCATACCTAAACAAAAGCGTCAGCGTTGTCTGGCTGTCAAAAAATTCTCATGCCCATACAATTTGTATGAAGCATACCGAAACAACGCGGCGTCAACGCTGAGCGGTTGGAAATTCCGATTTTGACAGGGCGTTAGGTATTAAAGTTGGCTGCAGAAAACGGCGAAACTGTCATTTTTGTGTTACACACAAACAAACCTATGCTTATTGTTGGTGTTATTTGACGTATCGTTGACGCTTTTGTTTAGGTTTGGCACTTCGGCGCTAACGCTAGGCGTCAGAAACCGTTCCGCCCAACGCTTTTGTTTAGGTATGGCAGTTAGAGACTTCAAAATGTTTAGTTCGTATGCACTATTTATCTCTGCGTTCGATGAGACCTCTTGGGAAATAACTAATTACCGCCTTGGCCTCTTTTTTGGCGGGCAGACATGCATACAATTTTGATATTTTTTGATAATTTTTAATATTTTTCAGAATATAAATTTTTGGAACGTTGGCGTGTCAAATGAAAGCTTTTGGGTCTTTCTGATTGGTCGGAGCAGAAAGCTTTCTGATACAACTCTGCGCTGAACTGGTTTTCAAACGAGTTAAATGATTTAACTGGTTCAATTTTCCAACAACAATTGCATGCGATTTAACTTGTTTATGAACATGTTTTGTTCATTTAACTGGTTCAAGCCCATTTAAGATGTTTAGCTCGTCAATTTGAACGTAGTATTAGATGAACGATCCTCATTCCAAGTTGAATATCAACACTACATATTTGCAAACAAAAAATTGGGACGTGAATGAGTTTATTTGAAAATTAATGAAGTGGGCGAGGAAATACCTTTCCAATGATACCTCATAAGTCTAAATCGGAAAAGTTTTGGCTGCGGTATTCAAATATTTCTTACACCAATCTTTGAAAAAGTTCAAAAACAGCATCATTAAATATTTGTATGCAAATTTTTTAAGCTTAAACTATGTTGTCATCTGGGGTGATTTTTTCACAACATATTTAAAAAGCTATTTTTAGTCATAAAAAACTCCATTTTTGGGGGTATTCCTAAATCGGTCCAGCTCACGTAAATCTTAATATTTTTCCGAAATATTTTGGCGCAAGTCTTAAAATATATTAGATTTGTTATTTCCAATGGAAAAAGAGTATTGATTTTTTTTTGTATGGAGAGTGATGCAGTGTAATATATGTACATACATATACATATGTCAGGCATTTGGAAGTACTTCGGTGATCTTACTTAGAAATTGCTTTAACTGACCACCACCAGCGTTCCCGTTTCCTTGTGATCTTTTTAACCCTTATACTATGTTGCGGTCCGTGACCCAAAATGACAATACAATGCAATAATATCTTAAGTTTAACGTAACCTTTTCACCTCAGCGCTTAAGTTTTTGTAATATTATTTTACAAAATTAGTTTGTTTTGGGTGAGATTTATACGATGGAGATTTAAATTGCAAAACTATTTATGTTAGCATGTTACGTAAAGTTTTTGCAAAACCCTTGCACTGGTTATGGATTGCACGGTTTGCAAAGTTTTCCTTACAGTAAAATCACAACAAAACACACGCAAAAAATTATATGCAATACCTAACTTCTCTTCAAAGTGCGAGAAACAACCATACGAAGTCATTTGTGGTTAATAACTAAGCAGCGCGATTGACTCGATTTTTCCAAACCGGTTTTAGCCACTTTTTTCAAAATTTGACCCCTTTGCGACACGCCATAACCTACTCCAATCGGGACCAAAATTTGTATATGATTTCTTCGACTATAGTAGTATCGATTTTGGGTATAAGGTGAAAAAATAATTAATTTTAATTTTTGGAGTCTTCATAAAGGAATCTGAACTTTGCCCGCTATGAACTTTGCACGCTATGCGTCTCCCTTCGGGACCAGCATTTATATGTGATATCTTTGATATTACAGATTGAGGGGGTGAAACTGAAAAAAAAATAATCGTTAATTTAGTTTTTTTTACGGACCACCCTAATGTGCATACGTTGAAGTTAAGAGGCTTTGTCATAAAAAATAAAGAAGAATTTAACTGCTTTATAAATCGAAAGTTTGTATGAAGATGTCACTTTATAGTGCTCTATAAATCGCATTTTATTTTTTATGAATAAGGCCATAAATTGATTAGATGTGCAGCTTAAATGAATTTTTGAAAAATCGCATTTTCGCATTTTTTCACTGTAGCGAAAAGGCAGCTATAAAAAATGTATATATATTTAGTAAAGAGTATTAAAACCCCGGAGATATTTTAGCAAACAATTGATTGAAATATATATTTTAGAGAATACTTGTAAAAAGACAAGCTTGATGTTTTTAACAACTAAGGAAAAAATTAGTTGATCCCAGAAATTCTAAATATTTATAAGATTTAAGGTTTGTTTTACTATTAAACCAAATGCGAGCAAGTTTTAAAGTTGTTTTGTACCTGGTTCCGACAAAAAAAAACTTTTAACTTATTTCGTTTAATTGTCTTTTAAATGAAAGCCATACATATTTTTTGATAGTTTTATTCCATTCATTTAAGCGTTATCCAAACGCGAAAACTTTAAAGCACATATTCAAATTATCGTTTTTCGAAGAAGTCGAAAACCGGTTTCGGAAAAAAGCCGGATAATGGACACTGTAGTGCTTGTTGTATTTAATACTTGTTATAAAATAAACTTTTTTAGATTTTTAAAATGTTAAATACAAATATTTCAAAATGAAAAATGAGAAATAAATTATTGTATTGGAAAATTGTTAAAAGGCAAGAATTCAAATTCTTAAGATCTAAAAATTATAAAGCTAAAATTGGCGATCCTGCCAGGAGCCGTTGACTATTTTACATTCGTGTTCAATATCAAAAATACGGTCAGCTTTAACTAGTAAAGAAAAACAGTGCAAACTTGTAGCACTGATAGTTAAAAGTCCAACATTCGTCCGGAAGCTCAATAACGATTTCCTCACCAACATTCCTGGTCGTTGGCTTATTTTTCTTTTGTTATACCCAAATAATTTGCCACTATTTGTATTTGTTGCGGTTATTCCAACGCTGGTGTTAATACCACTACAACTGAACTATCCACCAGGCTGCAATAAAATGTATTAGTGATGCCGACAAGAAGACGCTTCATTTTCATATCAGCGAATGGAATTCGAACAGCAATCCACAAGAGTCAAATTAGCAGAAATCAACAACGCGATATTTCGAAAACCATAACAATATAGAGAACAACGTCAACAACAGCATAAGTACTAGTCGTCTCAACAACACATGGCTCGTACTCCTAATAGAAGTCCGTTGCCAGAAATATTGATTTTGCATTCACACAACAAAAAACAAACACTAACAACATGCAACAAACAGCACAATTATCACAACAACAACCATTTGAATCCACGACTGAGAGAAATAGAGATTGCGCCAATCGCGGTACCGCTAATCCGCTCTTTGTGATTTTGACAGAATGAGCTGTGTGCGTGACGTCATCTTGGTGCAATTGTTGATTGTGAGCATACGAAAAAACCAAATAAAAATTTTAATATATGTGCGTTATTATTTCTGCGTGGTTTTAAACAATTATTGAGACATTTAAAAGCAAAATGAAGTGTGCAGTATAAGTTTTTTTTCGTTTCCTACGGACGCAAACCTGGCGAAAAAGTGGAAGCAGTTCAGCCGGCGAGGACATGCATTAAAAACCAAATCGAGCTTTGTGCTATGTGTGTGAGCTATGAGCTTCTATATGGAACTATGTTGGCTTTTTCTTGGTGAATTGTAGTAGGTATGTTTCCATGGTGAATGTAGACAGTTGCTGGTGTAGTTTGCTGGCCATGCCATATATACAAAAGCAGTTTCTACAGTAAATATATACGTGAATAGATTCACTACCTACTTATTTTTGTTAGTACCTGATTCTTTTAGTGCTGGTAAGTGGTAATGCACCAGAGGATAAGGTCACCAGGCGCTAATTCAAGCGGCATCTTACCGCGCTGTTACGTACCTAATACAAAACAGTGCCCAAATTATTATACATTTAAAAGTTCAGCTTAAATTATGTTTTACTGACATAGAATATTTGCTTCCAAAAAAGCCACACTCATGCATCCTCTCGGAAATGGTACAAAAGTCATCAAATAAAAGCTGTGGAGTCAATAGCTGTGGAGTTCATGGTGATTGGCTACCGTCCACAAATATAAATATGCACTCTGCATGGCTTTTTAAAATGGCAAGTCCAAAAAATTCACTTTGCTATACACCTTCCTTTTGGTCTACATGAAATTGCAAATACTGTTAATACATCCATTTTTTCATGTGCTAAAAATCGTACTTATCTAAAGGGCTACATGTCCAAAATTATTGCTACGTGTTCCTAATTAATCAATATTTGTATATTTATTGATTCCTGCAAAATTGGGCCATGTAATATTAAAATTAACACATTTTTCTGCATTGTTTACATATTTTTATATGCGTTTTGGCATTTCTCTCTCGCAATTGCACCAAGATGACGTCACGCAAAAATTACGCTCAAAAATCCTCTCTCATTGGCGCAATCTTGTAT